CTCAGCCTCCCCAGTAGCTGGGATTACAGGTGCCCATCACCATGCCAGCTAATTTTTGTATTTTTAGTAGAGATGAGGTTTCACCAAGTTGGTCAGGCTGGTCTCGAACTCCTGGCTTCAGGTGATCTGCCCGCCTTGGCCTCCCAAAGTGCTGGAATTACAGGCATGAGCCACCGTGCCCAGCCAACTGTAATTATTTTTTAGAGTTCTTAAATTATATATATTTAAGGTATACAATACAATCTTTTGACATACAAATACATAGTGAAATGATTACTGCTCCCAAATAAAATACTATATTCATCTCCTTTTACATAGTTACTGTATATATAGTTACCATATATATGTAACCAAATATATTCACTATGTAAAACCAAAGTTACCATATACATGGTAACTATGTAAAACCAAAATATCCTATACATTAATATTTGGTACTATTTAGGTAATACCAAGTTTTAGTGAGAAGAAAATGGTTTATAATTTGAAATAGAAGGGCACAAAAAGTAAAAATATTTGGTATCCAGAGAAACTAAACAACAATAATAAGACACAAATAATTCTTCCAAGAAAATGAGTTTAAATATATGGTAGCTATGCAAATATATACGTGTCTGTATGTGTGTGTATATATAAAGTAACTATGTAAGAGGTGTGTGTATATATATGTATACACACACACACACATATATGAGCACTTGAAATTTATCTTGGCAAACTACAGTGTTATCAAAGGTGCTGGGACAGGAGAGAGGGTAGAAGTAGGAGGGAGATGGGGAGATGTTGGTCAAAGAATACAAAGGATACAAAATTGCAGTTATGTAGGATGAAAAGACAGCTAATGTATAGCATGATGACCATATTAACCTTAATTCTTAAGCAAGATTATATGGTACTTTGCTTCCCTGACAGGAATATCAGAGAAGAGGTTATCAGGCATATACCGTAAGCAACATATTAACTTATAAGCTTGATCTAGGTAATTTAGCATAATATCATATCTTTTCATTATTGTACATTTGCACACATACAGAAACACAAAATTTTATTAATATTAACAATTGGTTCATGACAGACCTCATCATTGTTCTATGAATTGCCTATTTTTAAAAAAATATAATTAACTTTTTATTAGAATGTAACAAGTAACATAAACCCATGACTCATAATGAAAGTTGGGATCTTGAAAAAAAAAATGTATCTAACCATATATCCTCTATTCCTTTAATTAACCTGTCTTCCTTCTTCAACATCTTTTTAAATCCTGTGTTCGGCCTGGCATGGTGGCTCATGCCTATAATCCCAGCACTTTGGGAGGCTGAGGCGGGCAGATTGCAATGTCAGGAGATTGAGACCATCCTGGCCAACATGGTGAAACCCTGTCTCTACTAAAAATACAAAAATTAGCTGGGCATAGTGGCGCATGCCTATAGTCCCAGCTACTCAGGAGGCTAAGGCAGCAGAATCGCTTGAACCGAGGAGGTGGAGGTTGCAGTGAGCTGAGACTGGTCCATTGCACTCCAGCCTGGTGACAGAGTGTGACTCTGTGTCAAAAAAAAAAAAAAAAAAAATCCTGTGTTCATCATTTATTTCCTTTTTATATTTTTTCCTGTATCTGTATCTGTTCTAAAAGATAATTTAGTTTTATTTATTCATTGAATTTTACATGTATTTTTATATTATCTATATGTTGAATGATAGTTCAGTTTTTAAAGTGCTCTCTTATGTGAATATTCATGTACTATCCCATGATGGACATTTAGGTGACTTCCACATTTTTTAACATTGTGAATAATTCTGTCATAAACATTTTTGCATATGTCCCCTGCTGTACATGTACAAATAGAACAGCCGGATCATACAGGATACGCTTCTCAACAATAGAAGGAAATTTTGAATTCCTTTTGAAAGTGTTTGTACAAATTTACATTTCAAGTAGCAATGTATAAAATAGCATGTGAATATACAACATCTCCATTATGAGTTTATTTTCAGATGTTTTTATTTTTGTAATCAAAAGGGCACAAAATGGTAACTTAATGTGGGATTTATGTATGTTTGTGATCAATTATGATTCTCAACATCTCTACATGTTTGTTAGTCATTCTTACTCCCTCTTTTGTGAAGTGCCTGCACGTGATTCTTGCCCATTTTCTAGTGGGTTGTTTGTGTTTTTATTGATTTGTAGGAGTTCTCTATATATTCTGAGATCTGATACCTTTTGTCACTACAAATGCAAAATCTTCTCATGTGTAATTAATCTCACCTGTTAATTTACCCTTTTTCTCATTTAATCTTTTGTTAACCTGAAATGATCATAATAAATGATCCAAGCTCAAAAAGGAACTAAACCACTAAATGGGACAACTGCCACTCTTTTATCAGTATTACCACAACCAATGCCACATCAAATATTGTGGCATTTTATATTTCATTTACCTGAGAGATAATCAAAAAAAGATTAGTGCTGTAATAACTAGAAATCAATCATTGCAAGCTGCCAACTCAAGCAGGAAACATGCATAAATGCTCAGAATTTTCATGATTGGATCCATAGTTTAAGAATACGAATATAGCCATTATTACACTAACTCATACAATGACAACATTGCTCCAGATAAAACATCTTTGGAAAAGAGATATGTTTATTACTTCTATAATACAACAGACCATTGCCTCTGTCACTGCTTGTTATGATTAATTATATCTCCTGTGGTATAGCAACTATGTACAGCAAAATTTGTAAACATTGATAATATTGTGCTATTTACCTTAACCAGAGCAATATAAAAGACAATATGTTGAATTTCTATTTGAATATAGAAATGTAATCTATGCTATCTTAAATCTTTTTCCTGAGCCAATACATCTTTGGCTTTTTTGAGAACTTGTCTAAAAAAATAGTGTACTAGGATTTTACCCTCCAAGAGTCCATTGTTTGCACTTGTTAAGAAAATCTCAGACCTACTACCCACATCTTGCTTTCCTGCCTAAGATCTCTTTTTCTATCTTTATGTGTCGTGGTTTAATACTTACCTAGATAGGCAATAATATCAACTTCTCATAAAATTTTTTATTCTGTAATATAGATAATATTAGGATTTGTATTAATTTTATTTATTCAATGCCTTAAGATTTTAGGAAGTAGTTTATACATAGATATCAACAAAAATAAATTTTAAAAAATTAAGAGGGGAAGATAATTTGTTACATAGATTCCATGTTCTTACATAAAAATTCAAAACTAGCAAACATAAATTTTTCTGGCTTTAATACTTATGGCTCATTTAACTTAAGGAGTACTTCCTAATTCATAAAGAAAAGGGTTAATTTCTTCTTATTCTACTTTTGTTTTTCTGTTTGTTTTAACTGTAATAACTGGTAATATCTTTTCTTCATTTTTAATGTATTCAGTGAAAAAGTTCTTGTTTCATTTTGTTTGAAAGCAATATGCTTCCCTATAGGAACGTAAATGCAAAAGTATTTTCTTCAGATGTTCCTGCCTTTCCTGGCAGAGGTGAGCATGCTCACCATGCTCAACAGAGTTACTTCTATATCTTAAGTACGCATCTATTCTTATAACTTCTTATAACTTACCTTCTTCTTATAACTTACCTTCAGAACGTACTTGCTTAAATGTCTAGTTCTTAGATTGACTCTTGAACATGGATAATAATACATATATATTTTATTCTCTGGTTCCCAACAAAATTATTGGCACATAGCAGGTGCTAATTGAATATTTAAATGATTCTTTAACCAAATTAATGTTAATCTACTATATGTTATAATTAGATTTGTTTTCAGCATCCTCAACAATATGCAGAGCTGATATTCTTTGTATATTTTTATTCATAGAAATAGTTTGTCATGATCACCACTCCTTCTATTTTATCCAATCATATAAGTAACCTATGTTGATAGGAAGGGTCAGGACATGCATGATTGGAAGAGTCTTATGCACCATGATTGGGATGACTCACCTTCATGTAGATACAACAACTTATGAATTGATAAATTTTTTAATTATTTGTAATACTATTCAAAGTGGGATGACCTCCCTTCAACTGTACCTTAAAATTTTTTACTTTTGCGTTATTTATTGTGCATATGCTAAATCAACAAAATGGCAGAGCCTAAAAATTATGGTATATTTAATTAGATAGAGCACTGCTAGTGCTCTTACACATTTGGTGGGACAGAATGATGTTTTGTAGGCAGAGTTTACCAAAACCTTAGTAGAATTTGTGTGCGATACACCTATTTTGCTTATAATTGACTCTGTCAAAATCTGAATGAATTAATCAGTGTCTTCTTTATTTAAAGTGTCCATTTATCTGTTTTATTTTTGCAATAGTTTAATTATAACCTGCTTCTAACTGCTTCTTTACTTCCCTTTAGCTGTGTGGGCTCCTTCCACCTTCAGTATTGCTACATGCAGGAATTCAACTTCAGTTGTAAAGGGATCTTAATTTGTTAGTTCATGAATTACATTATCAAAGCACTTGTAAATGTGACTTCAGGACTATCTTTGGAGAACTCTGATAAATAGAGGACCTGTGAGAGATTAAAAATGGAAATTAGCAAATGGTTTGCTTTGCCAAAAGGCAGCAAGGATGAACCTTGAGAAATACAAGTTGATTAAGAGAAAACTCAACCATGGAAAAAAAAATAGACATTTTTTATTTAATGATTTTTAAGAAAATTTAGAAAGTATAGGCACTAAGAACATATATTAATCTAAGAATGTGTGAACGTATACTTTTTAAATAGGAGAAAGCCTGGTATATCAGGTGAGAACATAATAAAGGTATATTTTACTTTACAAAAAGTAATTCAAATGACTTCCTTTGAGATAAGATGGTGACATTTTGTTTGCATGCAAAACTAGTAGTATCAGAATACTCAATGCAGTTTTGTTAATAACTTACTATCAAACTAATAAGAGGGCATAAGTAAATTAACGTAATTTTTTTTCTTTGGCTTTCCTTTTTATTCAGATTGCATCAATGCCGGAGATCAAAACATATAAAGGATGCAGATGACACAAAGCTGGGAGACATTGCCAATAAAAACAAAGATAGAATCCAGAATGAAAATGATTTGGTAATCTCTTCATTCCTATTGAAATTCAACAGGAATTTAAAGCCCAGCCTGTATGCTAAAAACATCAAACACATAGAGAAGAAATGCCTTGGCAACTCTTTCACAGGAGGGGACATCTGTGTTTATACTGATCGATGATGTGATAATGTTACAACACATTTAATATGGTCTTAAATTGTTTCAAAAGAAACACGGATTCAGGTTTACATGAAGTAATAGATTCAGAAAATATGCTGCTACTCAGACCGTATCTGAATTGTTTTGTTAAATTATCTGTTATATTTTTGGGTGTATAGTGTCAAAATCTGTCTCTGCAGAGGAAGCTAGCCAGCATTGCGTGAGAATCTAAATATCATGTCATATATGGAATAGTTGAAGAGTCTCTTTCACCATTACAAATAACATGACACATGCACTAATTTTCTGAAATATGAATATGTAAAGATTCCATGGTTGAATAAAAGCTAATCAAAATGAAAGGGTTTCTTTACTATAGGACACCTCAGTAAAATCAAAATTTTGATAAAGCGCTTGATGACATTTTAAGCAGTTGATATAAAGAAGTATTTTCCCATATTATTGAACCATGGAATTCCATTGAACATTTTTTTTTCAACTCTGGTCAAAAAAATATATACTGTAAGAAGAAATGATGGTTATAGAGGAAGTAACAAATTTGTTCTATGCCCTGTTTCAAAGGGAGAATCAGGCAATTTTAGGTTCAATTTAAGAAAAATAAAAGATCTTTACAATTGTATTCGAAAAGACTTACATCCTACAGGTAGGATGTAAGGAGAATCCACATGCAGCTGAGATTGGGTGAGATGACCTTTGAAGTTAATGCCAACACTTTCAAAGTAATAAACTTTGCTCCAGAAAGCACTACCTGCTGCCATCTGTAAAAGAGACCTCCAGTGATCCTGTGATCCTAGATTTAAGAAGTCCTCAAGACCTGTGAATCCTTCTTCCAGAATATGCATTGAAAGAGGCTAATTGTTCATGCTTTTATTATGACCCCATACTATGTTGCTGAGACAGGAATAATACAGGGTGGTTGCAGGAGATTAGAAAATGCCAGGCAGCAGTTTCACATAACTAGTAAAATAGCTTGTTGAAATAGCTGCAGAAACTATGTGCCCATAAGATCTTGAAAAATCAGGATGTGAACCAAGCTGGTTAAACCAACTGGACTCAGCATGACATTGGATTTGACCTAGGATTCACCTCAAACCTCATTATGCAAATCACACAGCCACCAGTGCCCTAACAGTTTCAAGAATACCCATATTTGGTGTAAAAATGGGTGGCACCCCAGTGACACATTTTTCCAATAATTTTCATGAATATTCCACACCTTGGTTAAAGAAACTCATAAAGGTTGCAACCCCAAACCCTCTTGAGCATGACTCTCTCTTAAGTATGCCCCCACTCCCTTTTTGTCATTTTTGTTGTTGTTGAGATGCAGTTTCGCTCTTGTTGCCCAGCCTGGAGTACAATGGTGTGATCTCAGCTCACTGCAACCTCTGCCTCGTGGGTTGAAGCGATTCTCCTGCTTCAGCCTCTGGAGTTGCTGGGATTACAGGAGTGCACCACCACACCCGTCTAATTTTGTATTTTTAGTAGAGAGTAGTTTTGCCATGTTGGTCAGGCTGGTCTCTAATGCCTAACCTCAGGTGATCTGCCCATCTTGGCCTCCCAAAGTGCTGGGATTACAGACATGAGCCACCATGCCCTGCCCCTTAAATTCTTGAGTGTATACTTTTCCCTTTGCAATAAGTCATTTTACTTTCACAATTTACCAGCTTATCCTTGAATTCATTCTCATGAAGGTGTCAAGAGCCTAGATCACTAGCTGGGGTGGAGGCCCCACTGGCATTTGGAGACCCCCCGCCAACCCACCAGTATCATTGCCATTACTTCTCTTTAGAGTCTAGTGGTGTAATTCTGACTGCTCTTAAGTTTCCATTCTTGCCTTGCCTTCCTTCCCTGCTCCCCCCTGCACTCTATTTCTACACACAATAGTCAGAGTACATTTTTGAAAACTCTAAACCAGATTACACTCTATCTATTCATGTTACACTAACCTCTTGCTATACTGGCCTTCATTCTGTTCCCTGGATCTTGTTAGGTTCTTATTCCTTTGCCTGGAGTAAATCACCCCAGGATGTTCTAATGTCTTTACTTCATTCAGATCTATGTTTAAATGTCACCTTTCCAAATAGGCCTTTCTGGTCTACTCTATAAATAGAAAACTTGCCTTTTTGCAAACTTCCTTACATTCCCCACTCCCAAGCCCAGGTCATTCTCTATGATTGTATTTTGCTTTCTTTTAAAAACATGCATATGTTTTAGTTCTGTCTCCTACAATGAAATTGAAGCTCAAAAGGGCAGAGACCTTGTTTTGTCATTTATTTATCTTAGGACAGTGTCTTGCAGAACAGAATGCTAAATATTCCTTTTTTTTTCCAACAAGCAAGTATACAAAAGCATGGTTCATTTTCTAAAATGTAACTGGGTTAGTAATAGCTTATTTTTACATAAGATAACTATAAAATTACCAAAATGACACTATGTTACAGCCAAATTAAAATTGCTGTTATTAAGCTAAAATACAAAAATATGTGTTCTTCAAGTCGTTTTTTAAAGTAGACTATATGGCATTTTAAAAAAACGGTTCAGAATATAAAAGAGGCATTTATTTACAACCCACATTGCAACAAGTTGCTAAGGTAACTACAGTATGGCTAAAGCATTTCATCACTTTAATAATTGTATAGATTTTCAGTAAGCAGCACACAAGACATATTAAGTAAGATGTATCATTGTGTAAATTACCTTAGTCTAGAAACCAAGCTGCATAGCACATATTTACAAGAGGTGCTTTTCAAGGACATCACCTCATAAGGATGAAAGACTAAACATGCCTAAATATTAATAAATATGCCATTCATAATACAAAGTTATTTTCAAATGCTTGTCTTTACAGTTTCATAAATTGAAATATGTACAAATTAATAATTTGATCTAGAATTTTGCCTAATGCACTATGTCATGGCTAAAAGCCCTCAAAGTGACATTGTGAATAGTTCTTCAGATTTTCTTACTAAAAATGAAAACAGCTTTCATGCATTATTACCTATGTGGTAGGTACCATTATAAACCACACTTTATATACACAGGAAAACTAGACAAAGACGTCTTAGGTCAGTACTTTCCTTAAAGAGCCTCACTACCTCAAAATAGAGTCAGTAACAAAGTTCAGGGGGTCTTATTCCCAGGTCTGTGCTAGCAATCATTATGATGTTCTGTCTCTCCTTTATATACTTTCTTTACTAGATATTCAAGATACAAATTGTATTTTCTTTAGAATGTAAGTTGCTAGAGATTCTGGAACTTTCCTGGATGTGTAGTCAATGTAACGGTCAATATAATGAAGTTAGTCAGCACTGTGAGTAGAAGAGGAAGCGGAGAGGTCAGAGGAACTGTAGCAAAAGGCACTTTATGACATTAGCATCCTATAGAAGTCCTGGTATTTGCATTGCCTGAGATCAAGTTTCCTTTGCCTTTTGACAATTGATTTGACAGCAGTTAGCTGGTTGAGCTACTTAAGCTCCATGCACCAGTGATGTTAGTGCTCAATCAGTTGAAAATAAAGAAAGTGTATATGCCTAACAGGTCTCACATCATCAAATGCAGATCAGAAGTAAATAGTGCTGCATGTGTGCTCCGCCCAAGAATTTCTAGATCCCAGTTTGAGTTAATAGATTCCCAAGGAGACTGGGAACAATCACCTGGGGAGCCCAAGTTAAGGACTAAGATCATCCATCTTCCCTTCCAATTTCCTTTCAAAGGATTGATTAAGAAAACAACAGGCAACAGCAGCATTTATCTTAATTATGGTAACTAAATGCAGGATTTGGACAATGTGATACTTAGATATCTATATACTAAGGATGAAAGTTCCTAAAGTGACTAGTGCTTAGTCTTTTACTTAGTTCATTTGAATTGATATTAGATTTCTCAATGATAATTCATTGCTAATTAAAAAATATAAACGGAAAGTAAGCACAGACTTTTCATTACAAATGAAAAACTTCTGGAGCTCACTTCTAGCAAGCAATTTTGTGGGTGTTAATGTTCCTCCAACATCTAATGCATCTAAAAAATATTAGCAATCATCTTTTCTAAATAGCACTTCACAATTTTCTAACACTGCAATATCCATTTTGTTACAGGATTTTCATAATACTAAAAGCTAGTATGTTTAATTATTTTTACCCAAGAGAAAACAAACTCAAAGCCTAACTTGTGAATGGAAAGTCTAAGACTGATCAGATTTTCTGATTGGCATGCTTATGTGTCTCTGGAATTTCATTATACTTCCAAAATATACTTAAGCAGTTTCTTTTTTTCTTTTCCTTTTTTTTTTTTTTTTTTTTTTTGGATACGGAGTCTCGCTCTGTCGCCCAGGCTGGAGTGCAGTGGCTCGATCTCGGCTTGGCTCACTGCAAGCTCCGCCTCCCAGGTTCATGCCATTCTCCTGCCTCAGCCTCTGGAGTAGCTGGGACTACAGGCACCCACCACCACGCCCGGCTAATTTTTTTGTATTTTTAGTAGAGACAGGGTTTCACTGTGTTTTAGCCAGTATGGTCTCGATCTTCTGACCTCGTGATCCTCCCGCCTCTGCCTCCCAAAGTACTGAGATTACAGGCGTGAGCCACTGCGCCAAGGCCAAGCAGTTTCTTTTTAGCTAGAGACTTCAGCAGACTTAAGGGACAACTGAATAGTCAGTTGATCTGTATTTGTTCTATAAGATACATCATAAATATGGCAGTCATGTTACATTTAGTAATGAGCAAGTGGCAATGGATTAAGGAAAAATTGAGTCTCACCTCAGTAACTAAACTATGCAACTTTCAGCCATTCATGACCTCAGTATTCTCACCTATAAAATAAAAAGGTAAAATCAAATGATATCCAAAGTCATCGATAGTCTACTTTTAAAATTATAATGTAAATCATTATAATCAATTATTGGGAATATTTTACAATATTTATATCTTAATGTCTTCTAAAAGAGGTATACTAGAAATTTTTCTGGAGGCTGGAGATTTTTATTTTCCCACAGAAAATCTCTCTCATGTTCTCAGAATTTCTGGGATTATAATAACAGAAGTAAATTGGTTTTGCGTAATTGTGTAGTAACAAGAATTGTTCTCTGTTATAGAGACTATAAATTCATATATTTCCTCGTGGGACATTTTTGCATTTTTCTTACATTTTGAAAACCTGGTTTGATTCAATGTTTTTCTAGATATAAATGTTTTCTTCTTTGATTTTGATGAAAACCAGAGACAGTTCAAATAGGAATATTAACGTTTTTGTGTTTGTTTTCCTTACTGACTGAGGAATGCAAAGTTTGGTGACTCAGGTTAGTCTGTAAAAATAACATATAAGAGCCAAATATAAAGATAAATATAAGAGGCATATATCCTAGCCGGGCGCGGTGGCTCAAGCCTGTAATCCCAGCACTTTGGGAGGCTGAGACGGGCGGATCACAAGGTCAGGAGATCGAGACCATCCTGGCTAACACGGTGAAACCCCGTCTCTACTAAAAAATACAAAAAGCTAGCCGGGCGAGGTGGCGGGCGCCTGTAGTCCCAGCTACTCGGGAGGCTGAGGCAGGAGAATGGCGTGAACCCGGGAGGCGGAGCTTGCAGTGAGCTGAGATCCGGCCACCGCACTCCAGCCCGGGTGACAGAGCGAGACTCCGTCTCAAAAAAAAAAAAAAAAAAAAAAAAAAAGAGGCATATATCCTTCACATGTCTTATGAAGACATATGGCAGAGCACAAATGCTCATTTGAGGTTTGAAATTTTAATC